TCTAAATGTAATTTCCAAAGAGCCAAAACCTGATCCCGTTCGGGGTCAGAGGGGCAGATTGGACTAAAACCCATTTTTAATATTCAGCAACACCAGTAAACTGGTGGAACTGGGAGAATCTGGTGGTTCCAGGATTTTAACACGAAAACCCCAGGACGTTTCCTACACCCAGACTGCTTCATGTTTAGTGTCGTTTATATCGGTCAGAAGATGTAAAAAGATTGAAAATCATGAAGATTAAAATGGATCCAGATGTTCTATGTAATGTAGAGATGCTGTGATAATGTTATGTGGTGGGAAACTGATGCTTTAATGTCAAACCTTACCGAAAATGTTTACAATTATTAATGTATGTTTGTGAGAAGAATAAATAAAGAAGATTAAATGTTTAATTATTAATATCTCTTAAAGTGTGATTCAGCTTATTGTACCCTTTTTTTTTTTTTTTTGAAAACCTGCATTCACCATACTAAGACCTGCAGCTGATAAAGTTTAAAATTTCACCTTGTTTGGCTGAAGCTGCTTTTTGAAGTTTAAGCAGTCTTTCTTGCATCCAAAAGCAAGAAGGATCTGTTATTGTTCACGTGACAGTGAAACATGAATCCTCTTTCACAATGGGATGTAAGATGAACCACCAGCCGAGTTCTTCTGATCATATAAGCTGCCGTTGTAAGCAGTTTGCTGCTTTGAATCATTCAGAGCTGTGTTGACACAATGCAGGGGCAGAAAGACATCAGCAATGATACCAGAGCACCAGCTGGTGCTCCCCATCAACTTGGGTTAGGTCATCTTCAAAAAAAACAAAATTCGACAAAGAGGAGAACATCTGAGCTGTCAATCTTCCCTGCAGAGTAGGTCTCAGCATTGGTCAGAGCAGGAGGCTAAGAGAAATAAGGAGATATCAAAGAGCTTCTCCTTTGACTCTATAGGTTTCTGTTAAAAGGTTAAAGGTCATGACTGCAAACCAGTCTGGTTGTTTGGAAGGTTTGAAGGAGAAAGCTCCAATATGGCAACAGGACTGGTTTGGCCAAATGAGGCCACCACTTCATGTTTTACACAAACAACCAAGGACATAAACTCCTTTTTATCTACTATCAGACATGGCAGTGAAGTGGTTATCATTTGGTATGTTTTAATTTCACAAGATCTTGCATTTGTTTGTCTCTTTCATAAAATGTTGGAAACTAGAAACCTTTAGCGGGCCAGCTCAAAATTGATGGGTTGAATACAACCAGCAACTGACCTGCTGAGCAAAGCAGTCTGTCCTGTATTGGCTGGTATTTAGTGGGTATTTGATCTAAAAACTTGGCATGTGATGGCCTTTGGAATGGTCCTGGGTAGACTGGGTAGATCTCTGGATTTCAGCCCAGGGTAGTTTTAGAAGGAGAAGAAAGAACTGAAAGCGTCTGAAACAGCAATTTGATACGGACCATGCAGAGCTCTCCTCTTTACGTCTGTTTGACACTCAAAACTAAATGTAAACACTCCTGTATGCAAAATCTATCATGACATCTGGATCAGAGCGGGTCTCTCCTTTATGATGGAAGCATATTTTTTCCTATTGGACCATGAACTCCATACCAAAGTGTTTTAAAAGACAAACATACAACTTTCAGCTAAAGCTTGGCCCACACTGGGTCATCCAACCCAAAATTGACCAAAACAAGACTTTTCATGACTGACCTGTGCTGCAGGTGGGTCAACAAACGGCTAAATCGGGAGATGTTCCTAGTTTCAGTTGCTGTATCTTCTCTAGTTTGACTCCAACCTTAATAAATCAAAATGCAACAACTATGGTTGGCTTTAATAAAGAAAAAAGAATAAAAGCTGGAATTTAATTCCAGCAGAAATCAAAAGCAACTAAACTGGACCATTAGTGTTTTTCCACTGCTACAAACAGAAGTTCACAAGTCGTCTCTTTCCAAGTCAGGTATTCAGAGCACATGTCTAAGTCGAGTCTGAAGTCTTATTTTTGCTGCTTGTCGCCATCTCGGCTATGAATTGTGACTTGAATCAGTCTCAAGTGAGCGAACATGTCAAACCGCGAGAGCAACTGGCTCGCTACCAACTGATGTGACAGGTTTTATTACTGTTTTTCTACTGTTGGTTGCTGACTTTTCTGTATGGGTATGTCACAGGAGGCTGAGCAAACAGAAGCCTGTGAGCTGGAAATTGAACCACATGCCACTCTAAATCAATCAGGACCACAGCAGCAGCCCCCATGGCCTCCTTTAACCCTGAATCTTCTGCTTTCATCCATTTTCCAGTTCACTTAGTTGCTGGGCTTCAGATTACTACTTCAACACTGACTTTTTTTTTTTTTAAGATCAATCGGAAAGCAGCCACCAAATGCATCTCAGCCTGAATTTAAAGATAACTTTTACACGTCATTTCAAATCTATCACGGTTGCACAAACCAGGCTTTTCTGTTGTCACTGAAGTCAAACATAAATCCAGCACATAGCCTTAGCCTGGATGCACATGGGACACATTCTGGAGTTCATTTGGTTCCTTTAGAGATGATGGAGGTACAACATTGCATAAGGCATCACCACAGCCGGCTCTTATGGGCAAGGCCAAAGAGCTGCTGATCCAAGACGGAAGCTTGAGCGGAAGAGGAACAGTCCAACAGAACCTGTAAAGCAGTTCATGAGCCAGGTCTTTAACCACAGACTTCCAACTTACAATACTGGCCATTCAGACAGCTGGGCACACATTCAGTTAACACCCAACAGCACCAGCCAAGGCAGACAGCTTTCAGCTCCTTGAACGTGCTGGATATTAGAGCGATGAGATGACAAAATATCTTTAAGTTCTTATCCATCTGAGGGATTGAGCCTGGACCATCTGGATGAGGGCTCCTGATGAGCCCAAGAATTACCAGATTATTTCTTCAAATGCAGATGAATAAATCTTTGTTCATTGTTGGTAAACCAAAGTTAAGAAGAACTTTCTGGATCTGTGAATTTTTGCTGGAATAGACCCAATCAGAAGATGCCTGAAGGAAGACGAAGTGGATATCAACTTTGCCAACTGTAGCTGCTCTGCAGTGTAGTTGTTTTATATTGTTTCCTCAATGGATCATGTTCTACTATCCTATACTATATATGTATTTTAATGGGTCTGATAGCAGCTCTTCTACTTTTTCCCCATCTGGGTCTGCAGACAGAAGGCCCACGCTGCTTACCGCCCACATTCCCAGATAAACGGCCTTCGTGGTTCTCCATGAGCTGTGGTGTTGAGTTTCCATAAATCCTCTGGTATGTTTTTGGGGAGTTCTTGCAGAGGAGAGAAGCATGCAGATGAGAACCTTTTTCAATCTGCTTTCAGATTTAAATCTTCTCAGTTCCTTTTTATCTATTTTTTTTTACACGCAGGGGAACAACTTGGGGAGAAAAAAAAACGCTAAAGTGTTCAAGTTGTCTCTTTCAGCTTTAACTGCTTTATAAAGACATTTGTGAATCTGTTCTCATCAACCTCACATTAGATGTTTCAATCCAACAAAAGAACTTTCCCCTCGGTTATTGAGCCCCCCTGTTCTTCCTGTAGGTCCGTCTGTTCGGTCAGGAACGCAGATCTCTGCTGTATTTCTACCATCTACCGTCTCAACCAGAAAAGATTGACTATTAATTTTGTGAATTTCTGTTCACGTCAGGAACTTTTATGGTGAATGGAGATTTCTCTGATCCCCAGAACATCATTTAAAAACTTAGGGGACCCACAGAATTATGTGAGTTCCTAGAAGAAGCCAGGTTCTGAAACAATCGGACTGCTTTAATGATATTAGTGGAACCAGAACAGCAAAGCCGTCGTAACAAGCAGAGAATGTTGAGGGGTCTGTCAGAGAGGTCTGTGTTACACATTTATTATAATTTGTCCTAATTCTGACCCAACAAACCCCCCACGCCCTCCTGTCTGCTCCAGCTCGGTGAAACTTCAGACATCTCATTATTAAAGGGCCATGCTGCCCCCCAAACCAGACAGGATCTAGGCTTTCAGTGGTCGGAGGTGGTGCGTGTGTGAAAGGGTCAGACCGGCACGCGATTCTGGTTGAAAATGTGTCAGTCTTGGGCCGCCCCTGTCTCAGCTGTCATCAGCCATTTATTCTATTCATGCCACATGTTTAGAGGAAACTCCCCCAAACACACATTGAATTCTTTTCATTTGTGAATAAATTCAAAAAGATGCAAACTAAAGCTTCAAACTTTGTTCCTCGTCAGAGCCTGAGAGCTCCTGAATCTGTGGTGGGGCAGCTTCAGACAGCTCCTCTATCAGTTTTTCTCCAGAAGCCAGTTTGGGGCTTGGTTGTCCTTCGAATCATCTCAAACCATAAAGTCTGAGCAAAACACTGAGACCATCATGAAGAAGGCCCAGCTGAGGATGTTCTTCCTGTTTCAAGTCATGAAGCTCGACCTGTCGAAGGAGCTGCTGCTCATCCAGTTCTACACAGCATTCATCCAGTATGTCCTACACTGTTTGATTCAGCTCTCTCACCAAGCAGGACACAAACCGACAATCGGGTCTAAAGAAAACCCTCCAATAAGGACTACGTTATTAAAAATGTTTCAGCTCTTGTTCTTTGATAGGACCTACAGATCAATGTACACCTAAACCAACAGATTCAGGCAGTGTTTTTCTTCAAGCCTTTTCTCTCAGTAAATCTACCTTTATTCAGACCATTTCCTGGTTACTGCTCCATTGTTTTAAACTAAATATGTGTATATCTGTTCTCCATTCCATAAGCTATAGTTATTTCCATTACTGGATTGTTATTGTATAAATGAGTACATTGTGAAAATTGTAATCCAATGTGTACTTGTCAAATAAAGCTGGATCTGAGATTATTTATTCTCAGTTCCTGAGTAGAAGTGACCTTTTAGCTACTTGGGGGGGGAAGAAGAGACAAAACTCATTTATCAAATTTATTATTCATAGAATATAAAGATAAGAATAAATATGCAGCAAATGCTTTTAAAACGTAAAAAATATGTAAATTGTAAAAAAAAAAAAAAAATTAACAGGAGCATAAATGATCAAAAAAAAAACTTGGAAGATAACGATTCTTTATTACAATAGATGCAATCAGGTAAGAGAAATCAACTTTATGATGCTGCAGAAGAAACTGAAAACTAAAGGATAAAGATTAATAGTCACTATCTTAGAGAATAAAGCTGGATTTCTATTTCTGAAACCAAAGGTCCAATTCTGATGTCACATTTAAAACAACTACAGTCAATAACTGCACAGCTTTATTGGACTTGTACTGGACTAGAACAGAACTCGATCAGGTTCCTTCATTTGGACCTATGTGATCCCAGGACTATTGGATTTATAGATCAAACTGATGTATTAACTGAGTAAACTTCTAAACATGACTGAAGAACAAAAAGAACATCTCATCTGTTATATTAAAATGCCTCAATATCTGGTTTAATAAACGTTAAACCATATTTAGCAGCTATGGGGAAATTCTTGCTCTGTTGGATGAGCAGATTAATAACTAAAACGGATCACAGGATGGTAAGGACATTTTCAGCAGCTTAGGGAGGAAGACCTCAGATGCCTTCTGGTTTAGACACATTATGAAGGTATAATTAAACAGGAGAGTTCAACTCGGATCTAGATATTCTGGGTGATTCATAATAATCCAGAGTTCATAGAGAACTAACTGCTAGGATCTAATACATCTTTCCTGCTTAGAAGAAGCAAATTATCATTGTAGAAACTGAGAGTTGGACTCACATTTAAACTGATGAAAACAGACTAAACATGGAAAAATATTATTCCTCCTGAAATAAAACCAAAATGTCCCTTAGGTTTGGGGCCGTTGGCTGAGAGTGTAAAACCTCTACAGTGGATTGGTTCTCCAGCCTTATTAGATAGTCACTCAGAATAAGCCATTAATTAAATATATTTATTTATTCATCTATCCTGCAGGTGTCCAGCTAGGTTATAGTATACTTAAGTAAAATAAAGTCAGTGGCTGCTAGAGGATGAGACCCAGAATCATCTAGCAAAAGACAAACGGATCAATATCATGAGAAAACGTGTCGGATTTAAAAAAATTAACTCAGGAAATGGGATATTTTCATACGTACAGGGTTTTATGAAACATATTCGTAAATGTTTGATTTTTTCAAAAAGCAAAGTAGAAACAGAGGCTTTATGTATAATTTTGACCGCAGAGCAAACCCACAGTTTAAAAGTTTGGAGTTTAACTGGGTCTTTAATGCTCTAAGTCCGTAATCTCTGCTCATGTAGGGGGTGAAACATTTGATGTGGTACAGTTCTTCAATATTTCACCACTGGATCCTGAGGAAATCTGCTCAAATCCAAGATGTTTCTGCCAAGGTGCTAAAAGGGATCTTCATGGTGCAAGAACATTTAGGAGTGTTTGCATATTTTACAGATAAAACAACACATGCAAAAATATGCCATTTTGGACGTTACAGAACCAATGAAACAAGCAAAGAGAAGCAACAAGAACCCGGAAGCAGCTGCAGATCGTGTTCTGAAGGAAGGGGGTCTTCTAAGGGTTCCCCTCCAGAAGAACAGTTTTTAAGTCTGCAGGGCTGCTGATGGTGAACACAGCGTGGGAGGGGCTTCTTCTTTCAACCAGGGCTGCAATCACCTCGCCCAGGTCCAGGTGGTTCAGGTAGCCGGGGGCCATGCGCTCCGGAGTCCCTACACCTGTGTTGATTTTCACCTGCAAGCAAAGAAGAGATGAGATTAATGGGAGAGAAGGTTGCCGATGTAGGCTCATGGCTGTTTAGTGATGTAGGTTTGATCAACAAGTCAGCTCCTCTCAGTCCGAGGTCAGAGATGTCTGACTCCCTTGGGAGGCACCTGACCTTAGGGGTAGCAGAGTTAAGAAAAGGACTTACCTGGAATGGGTCGTCACATGAAACACATTCCAGTTTGAGATTAAAACAGGAGAAAAGAAAAAAACCTATGGGGTGTGAATACTTCCATGAAGTGTTTTCTTTATCACTGAAGACGACAATCAGGAGACATGAACAGATGCTGCAAAAGTGTTTATCTAAGCCTCACATGTAAAGACGACATGTCCTGATGCTGTTTCTCAGGGTGGGCTGATTGCCGCTGAAAACTGACCTGATTATGTAACATCTTAGATTGCGGCGTCTCACCTGGTTGAATTTACAGGACACCTCGGGGTATTCCTCTCTCAGCACCTGGCAGAAAGCTAGAGCGCTGGCAGCCCCCACCGTCAGGAAGCCAGTCCCTGGCATCAGCAGCTTCTCTCCAGCTCCTCCTGAGACACACAGCACCAGCATTCAACAAAATGAGCACACATCGAGAAGAAAGAGTTGTTCAATCAGCTGTAGGCTGTGGAGATATCTGCAAGTCTTAAAACTTCACAGGATCCACAAATAGACCAGCACATAACAGAGCATCCTTGTGAGGTGGAAGGAGACAGATGCATGGTTTGGAGAGTTTTTTGTTTTGTTTTTTCATTTTTGTTTTCTTAGAGGTTTCAGTATCATGAAGTTCATGGAACACAACAGACTACAAGACTCACTGCAAACTACCCCAGATGCAAAAACACAAAGTTGGAAGCATGATGCTGTGGAAAATGTTTTCACCAATTGGAATAAGGAGGCTGGTTCGAGATGAAAATGGATGGAACTAAATGTAGGACAGTCTTGAACGACCCAAGACTGGGATGGAGAAATACACCTTCAACTTCAATATAGAGAAATGATGGATGGTGTTGATCAATACTTACAGCCTAGTTAAAGTCCAGATCTAGCTAAATCTGACAATTTGCAACAGTATCAGATTGGGGATTCTGTTCTGAGGATAAATCCAGCTCTGTCTGAGAGTTTGGTGTGGTCTAATGGAGGGCTGAAATAGTTAATCTGAATAAGTTGGATTATTCGATTATTGAAATAATTGTAAACTAATTTAGTATCCGATTAAGTGCCTAGAGGAATATACAGACATGTGCCATCAATGAAAAGAGGAACCCACTCAGAGCACTAATTTGGCCAAAATTGTAAGAAAAAAAAAATGTCTATTCAAGATTTTAAAAATTGTTTTAGTCTGTGAATATGCTAAGTGGCACAGTTTTAGTTTCACATCGTTCTGATTATTCAAAAACATATTTGACTGGTTAATCAATTTGCAAAACAGTCGTAAGTTGCAGGCAGCCCTAGTCTGATATGCGTCAGGATGCTTATCAAATGTGTTCCAGTATCTTTGTTGGTTCTTTGCTCGTTTCCTTCTGTTGGATCTCCTCAGGAGCCAGGATAGGATATCCACAGGTGAAGAAAGCTTTCTAGCAGTGCTGCCTCTGTGGGGATACGTTTAGCTCCATGGAGTAACATTTTAGCAACAGAAAGTCTCTGTTCCAGTGGAGGCTAAGACTCAACCGTATGAATGATCTTCCTTCCAACTCACAAGGATGAGGTGATGCTTTAGTATGTTTTGCATTATCGCAAAAATGATTATGACAAAATGTGGAAAAAGTCCAAGGGGTGTGAATACTTCGGTATAGTGCTGATTATAATTTCAGTGTATTCATTTGATAAATGCTGGAAAACAAGAATTGTTGGTGGACTTCTTCAGGCATAGACTCACCGCACTGACAGTTTCAAACATCAAGGGAGCTTTAGTTCACATGGTGGACCCTCCTAAGTACCTGGGTCTTTCACCAGAACAATACACTGTCCTGAAGTAACACTACGAAGTCCACAGCTAATGATTATTTCGGCAATTTAGCATTCAATTTATTACTGTAATGATAAATCATGTAAATGGATTTAAAAAATGGCATACTCTACAGATATTTCATGGAATTATTTATAATTGCATGTAAAATATTTTACATATTAAAAGAAAAAACAGCAAACCTCCACAAAATCAGAACCGGAACCAAGCTCTCCCCCAGCTGCACAGTAGGATGGAAAGTTCTGGTATGTCTATATGTTTTTCAGTGAAGCAAATCTGCTTTAAGAAACATCACCTTGATGCAGTGAAGGGATTCCAAGGATCAGCTGATCCCAGAGGTTATGTCGCCTTGGGTCTAAAGGCCCCTGATAGGGTCATGGCAAACAGGCTTGGCTGGCGGGTCAGACAAAGATCGGGCAAAAACACTGTATGAAGACGACAAGATGGAGGCTGGTGATGGGACTCAATTAAGCATAGCTGGGGCCCCACCCTGGAGTCAGGCCTAGGTTTGGGGCTTGTCGGCGAGTGCCTGGGGGCTGTTACTCCCAATGGGAACAGATAGGGCCAAGCCTAAATGAGTAACGTGAGGCCATTCCCCTAGAGGGCCAACAACCTGCAGGAGAAACTAGTGCTAGAATTGATCGCTAGGCAGTCAGCGTTCAGAAACTTGGTGACCCAACCAGATGGACACTTTGCCCAGGTCCATGTGTGTTTCATGGACCTGGAGAAGGATTATACACTGTCTTTAAAGGGAACCCTTTGGGTGGTACTACAGGAGTCACTGATTCTTTACTAAAAACTCTTTAACAATAGTAAGCTGGTTTGATGTCATTGAGTCAGACCTGTTCCTGGTCCATGTTGGATGTTGTTCCTGTTCATAACTTTCATGGACAAGAAAGCAGCCAAGGACTGGAAACGGTCTGGTTTGGGGAACAGCATATTTCGTCTACACAACTTAAACAAGATCTGTCCCTTCAAGCCCAAATCCATAGTTCTTTAACCAGAAAAGGGTTGTTTGCCCTCTTCAGTTTGAATGGGAGTTGATGTCTCAAGTGAAGGAGTTCAAGTTTCTCACAGTCTTGTTAATGTTGAGAGGTGAGTGGAGAGCAATTGGTGCTGCTGTTATTCGGACGCTGCCTGCACCGGGCTGTCGAAGTAAAGAACAGCTGAGGCAAAATGAGAAGCTCTCAAATTCCCAATCAGTCTACATCCCTACCCTCAGCTATATGATCAGGAATTCTGGATCATGACCGAAAAAGGTGATCCCAGATACAACTGGATGAAATGAACTTCCTCTGCAGGGTGGCCAGCCACTCCCTGTTGTTCTTGATGCCTCACGGGTGATTCCAGACATGCCCCATCGGATGAAAGGACATGTTAGGAGACGAACCAGGACACGTCAGAGGGACATAGTCTCTTAGCTAACCTTGAAAAAACTTATCGCATTTTAAAAATGCAGCTGTTTACAGTCTGTGTTCTCCAGTTAATGATCTCAGTTTCTAAAATAATTAAAGCTCATTTCAATCACAGTAAATCTGATTCTTTAAACGTCAAACAATATTAACATCTTATGTTGTATATTAAAATCCTACTACCCATTTCATTAAATCTGAGAATGGCATTGTATGTTTCTCCTTTGTTGTAAGTTTAACCTTATTTTGTTCTGTTTGATTTAAAAAAAAATGCAAAATATTGCCAGATAATCCCTGAGTTTCTAATATTTCCTCCGAGATTGTGCAACATGGAAAACATACCCGTGATGAAGGTGTAGCTGGAGTCCGAGTTGTCCCTCACCAGGGGGAAGAAAGCCTTCCAGGAGACAAATGTGCTGAACAGTAACGTCTCCATTACCTGCATAGAGGGAACATTTATCAAACCATCTGCAGAAAACACCATTCAGAACATGGATAAAATCTGAAACTAAAGTATAATCAGTCTGTTTTTCTGCCTCTTGTGTAGACTGTGTGTTTGCTGACCCAGTGCAGGTCTTTTAGGGACTGGGTATGTGGGGGACCGCCCTGCCACCAGCTGAAGCCCAGGGAAGAAATAATATCGGTCACCTTCCCCACCTGCTTCAACAGGGCCTCCTTTGCCTGTTCAGCACTGTCCTCTGAGCCTGGAAACAGATGCAGAAGAAAAGAGCTTCAACATGTTCCAGATTTAATCTTCTCTGATGACACAGATTTAATGTTTGCACACAGCTTTGCAGAAATCTTGAGTGTTACTCAACACTTACCAGTAAATAAAGTCAGGTAGGAAGTAAACTCCAGCTAAACCATGGTGACCACCCCTTACCTGTTAGTCATTACCTTCTTAGGAAATGACTACTTGCTGAGGCCATTTGCTGGCTAATAAATGTTCACTTTGTGTCTCAGCGAGAAAATGACTAATCATTGCAGGTTGTTACAATTTTTCTATTTTTTCACACGTATCTCCTTCAAAACTTCTAGAGACTTCAAGAGGAACCTCGCATTCAAACGCATATTATTCGCCAGTTCAAAGTAATAAATTAAATAGAGTCTTAAGGGACCAAATGACTGAATTAAAAAGTACTTTCATTATTATCGATCGTACTGTAATTTCCCTCTGGGATTATTAAAGTATGTCTGATTCTGATTTTGGTTTGTTTGTCATATTTTAATACAGCTCACATTGGAAGGGTGCCCAAAGTCAATCCTGATGAGCTGGTGTCCTGCAGGTTTTAGATGCTTCCCTCCTTTGACACTCTTTATTTAGATCAATGCAGTTCAGCATAAGGCTGTTTATCAGCCATCAATAGGAATGCAGCACACCGGCTTTGGAGGACTGGAGTTGAATTTCAAGTCATGTCTCATGGAAGGCTAAATCCACTGTTTTTCCAACTGCTTGCAGTAGCTAGTCATGCTGAGAGGCTAACCTCAGGTTGTCCCTATAAAAAGTGTTAGTTAGCATGTGTACTTATTGAGCTTAGTATCCGTTTTGCCAAGCCTTTTGTGAATAGAAGCATAACCATGGCTCTCTGTTCTTGTTTCTTCACCTTTCTTATGGTCAACGGCAATAATTTTACTTGTGGGTAGGAAAGACATTTGGGAAATCTAAATAGCCTTTAGCCTTTGGGACGTCATTACATAATGGAAAAGCACATGGATGATGCTTGTCAAATCCGAACTACTGCTTTCTAAAAAAGAACCACACAAGTTAAACAAGTGCAAATGAAAAGCAGAAATGCACCTATAAAACTCAAAACATATGAAAGTGCATACATCAGCATGTGTCATACTCAGTACAACTAAAGAAATAATGCATTTTTCTTTCTTTTGGTGACGTGGGCTGTGCTTAAATGTAACACAAAGTAATGTGAGATTGTTTATAGCTCCTTAGCTGCTTTAAGGTCCCAATGCTCAAAGAACTTAATAATAGGGAGCATCAAGCTTCTTTCTCCTACCTCCGTCCTTACTGATTTGCTTGATTGAGCCAGGGTGTAAATGTCTGTTATGCATTTAGTGTCTGATTTTTTACATAACAGTAATGAATAGTAGAGGTTGCTATTACCTAGATGGTAATGAGCTTTGCCTTTACCTCCACATGGAATCAACTTTGCTGCCTCTCCCTTCAGCCAACACTCTGAGCTGGATTATTCCACAGATGAGAGGAAGAGAAGGACACTTATCAACAATGGGAACCTCTAGTGCAAATTGAAAGAACATTGAAATTTGCTTTGCGTGAGACTACAGAGCTGTCCTGGTTGCCATGTCAACACCATCCTGTACTAAAGATTCACCATGTGAGTTTCAATATTTAATAGGTGTCCAGATGTGAATTTGTGGGATATTAATGACAGTCTAGAGAGACCCAGAACTTTGTGGTCTGGTGCTAGCAGAACCCCCTTCTTTTGATTAAATTTTCAAATGTCCATTACTGTAAAAATGTCCACAGCTGTATATTGGTTATTTATTTTCCAGGTGCACCATATTTATATTGATAAACAATTTACAGTACAGTACGTTTTTATGTTTTAACTCTTCACTATTATGTTATTTTTGTACACTCTTCTAAGGTCCACATTTGTGTGACCAACTTTTGCTATTATCTTTTTGCTCCTGTAACACAAGAATTTCCGCATTTTGGGACAATAAATGGATTTTCCATTCTATTCTATGCTAACCCATGGAAGCTCCACCTATGATCAGAAGGATGTGCTGCTTGCCGGTGCCAGAAACCCTTCCACACCTCCAGGGTTCATGTGGAGTCCATACTGTTCAAACAATAAGAAGGGGACCAACACAATAGTTTTTCAGAGGTCATAACGTTATGCTGGATCAAACTATCTATACTTTCATTGGGTTTTAAATTTAACGCCCTCAGAAAGAGATTTAGAGGTTGTGTGTTATGTTCCACAGAGCAAACGATCCCAGGTGGTGTAACTTACCAACATTTCCCACCACAGTGATGAGGTTGTCCTTGGTGTTGGGAGAGACGGAGGTCCGCAGTTTCTCCAGTCTGCCGCTATCTCTGGAGATCACAGCAACTTTAAAACCTGCAGACAAACAGAGCAGGTATTCACATGAATCTGAGCCACGGACAGAGTAGCACCCGTCTGTCCGATTTAAAAGCAAACCAAAGCTTTAAATGTGTACCCTGTAAACTCTCATCTCCACAATAGTGAAGCATGGTAAATAATAGTGGATTCAGACTGGGAGACCACAAACAGTAATAAACACAAAACTAAAAACCGAAATCATCCCATCGACACACACTATCGACTGTGATTAGATGCTGGTGGCAGTGATGGGATTTTCTGGTTTCGCTGTTACCAGACAATGAAATGAGACTGTGTCCAACTCTATCCACTGACCTGTTGGACAGACAGATGAGCTTCCTTAGATGGGAAACATCCACACTAATTGAGTAAACCTGACAGTATTATTTCAAAACTGGATCTAACAGATCCCAAGACCTGGGATCTGTCTGTCTGACTGAACTGATCATGTTTTCTCTGTATAAATGTATGGATTTTTTTGTTAAGTGAAGAGATTAGCTTGATCCAGAGTGGAACAGATAGAAAATAAAAGGGGACTTAACACAGAGCCTTGAGGTATCCCATGTTTAAATGGTGCCTTTGCAGAATTCAGAATAATCTCTCAAAGTTGGAGAGCAGAACTCCAATAACTCAGGAAGGACTCAAACTAAATGAGTGATGTGCTTCACACCAACAGCTTGTTTGAAACAGGAAAATAAAACCCAGTGTCAAAAAGTAGCAGTGAGATCAAGAAGAAACAGATCTGCACCGGAGTCAAGAAATCATAGTAAAACCTGAGTTGTTTCAGATTTATGTTTGGAATTAAGTATGAGACATTAGACTCCATGGTGCTCTTTTTAAAGAGGCGGCATTGTTTAAAAACTATGGAAGAGGATTAGGGCCAGTGGGGGAAAAAAAAGTTAACTGATTTTTACATTTTATTTCAGTTTAATATGTGAAAAAAGTCGGAATTTTGACTTTAATCTCGGAATTATGACTTTTTTCTCAGAATTCTAACTTTTTTCTCAGAATTCTGACTTTAATTTCAAAATTCTCACTTTTTTTCCCATATTATACTGAATTAAAATTTTAAAATCAGTTAACTTTTTTTTTTCTTTTTTTAGTGGCCCTAATCCTCTTCCGTAAGAAACAGCTGGGGCACAATCCAATAGAACAGAGGTGTTAACAAAACCACCTAACCATAAACCGCAGAGAACCTGCTCTGCCAGTCTGGAGGAATACTGTCATCTGGACATCATAGAGACAGATGCTGAACTATTTTTGGCACTAGTTCAAATTTCAGAAAAAGCCGGAGATATGTGTAAATCAGCCGAGGATGCAGAGTGCTGTAAGCGTAAAAACCTGACCGAACTCATTGGACAGATTTTTAAAACCTTTTGGAAAGAGAAACAGGAGATTTACGCCAAATAACTCACAATGATTCAAAAGAGAGTCTAAGAAATTAAACAGGGTTGGAGGCTTGTTGATATTATTTGACATAATTGGATCTAGATGTTGAACCATCTCCAGAGGAATGTGAAGCGTAATCCTCCCTCCTCTTCCTCGCAGCGCGCTGGCAGGTGCGTAATGCGCAGCACGTTGTTCAGTTAGCCACTGTAGTATGAAGGTAGATTTGTTTCTTTACCATTCAATCAAAACAAATATATTTTCTATTAAAACAAATCTTCACTTGAATGAACACATTTAATTATTTATGAATGAAACAAATTGAAACAAATTGAAGGAAAAAGAAACAAAAAGACAAAAACGACCCACCCATGGACCAAACAAAAAAAAAATACATCCAACCAAACAAAAAAAACACAACAAAAAAAAAAAAAAAGAAAAAAAAAACAAATGAGTCAAAAACAAATAATTTACATGCAAAAAAAAACCACTATCAATGAAAAAAAAAATCAATACATTCAAGGAAACATTTTAATGAATCCGGTGGTTGGTTGGTTGAAACAAACTCCTTTTTTTAATTGAACAATAAATACACAAATCCTACTCATTATATGGTCCAATCAAAAAAAAAAGGTAACTCAAATTTAAAAAAAGATTCTTTAAACAAAAAAGACTGGACTCCTATCAAATAAAACATTTTAAATCGAAGAAAAGCAGTGTTCAAATATATTTTTACATTCAAATATTTTTTTCTTTCATTGAGAAGTTTTTTTTTATTGAAAATATATTTTTTGATTGAAGCAACCTTTTTTTTTATTGAATGATAAAGAAACAAATCTACCTTCATACTTTAGCCTCTTTAAAGCTTTTAGTCTTAAAAGGATGAAATAAATCTAAGATCACAACAGACAGAATTCAAATCCACGAGCAGCTGGTCAAAGTTTTAATTCTGGTGGGACTCAAAAGAGGAAAGCTCTGTGGAAACGATTGAAGAAACGCAAAGCTGTCTGTGGAGCGCAGAGGCGCAGATACAGAAACATTGAACTGAATGAGCCATCTGTAAAAGTAATAATAATAATATTAATAATAATAATAATAGGTTGAGATTACCTTTATCCAGCAGGCCTTTCACTATCCCTGAGCCCACCGTCCCCGCTCCCCCCAGAACCAACACAACCCTGCTGGACTTCGACATGATCGCTTTATCTCCACCGGACCTGGACGGTTTGGCTGAGATGTTTCTGTGCAGCATCTCAGCCAAACCAGAGTTCTTTTAGAAGCACCCGAGGGCCACGTTCCGCCCCTCAGAGCCCACGGAAGCCACGCCCGTGGGTCCCAGCAGCGCCACAGAAAATGACTCATATATTTTTACTTTCACATGCTGAATATTCAGACTCCTTTTCAGGATCTAAAGATTTTAGAAGATATATGGATGCAATAATAATTGCATTCCAGACAATTTTCTGTTGTCAAATTATTTTATATCAGATTTTTCCCTAATTTATAAATGATAATGATCATGCATTTAATTCTGCAGGTTGATTTAAACTCCTTTCATTCACATAAAACATTTAATTATTTTGAGAAATATGAACATTTTTGTACTGTGATGATGCTCCCAGCTCACTTTGGACCAGTTCAACTCGACTTGGCCCACTTGTGCATAATTTAGAGTTAAATAAATCATGATAAATCTCTAAAATAGAAAATAAGAGATTATAGATTCCTGCAGAGGTTACAGAGGGTTGAACAGTACCATCTAGTGGAGAGAGCTTATCTTTGAAATAAATGGTTCTTTTCTGCTGAATCTGAGCCTGTGGTTAATGCAACATTTCTTCTGTTTACTATCACTATGTTTATTATTGATGATTAGCTGACTTGATGAAAAACTGATAATATTGTAAATATGATCTGCACATTAGTTTAGTTGCCAGCCGGAGAGGTTGAATTGTTTCTATAAGTGATATGTTATGTCTTTGTAACACAGAACACCCATGGGAAAACAAAACGTGGCCTTCTGAACGAAAAACGTGCAGAAACCATGAACAAAGGAACATGGTCCATCCAGCCGGCCCCATCATCCAACCTGAGTAGGAGCGGCGCTGGCAGCCTCCTCCCACAGAACCGCTTTTATATCAGCCCCTTCCACCATCAGTGGTTAACTATAAGAACATACCTAACACATCCTCTTTGAAATCCCTGTTTATATGTTGTTGGTTTTTTTCTTCTTCATTTTAATCATAATTAGGAAGCGACGTTTAGTCCTTTTGCTTTCAGGATTTATGAACACCTGATCCTGGAGGTAATAACTGTGTGTAAATAAAGAGGAAAGCCGATTAATTGTTAAAATATCATAAAGTTGAGTCCTGACCTGACTAAGAGCAGATACCGAGAGCCAGGCCTTCTTCTCCAGCATTAGTGTCTGAACTCACAAATGTGCTTCTGGAAGATTCCCATAAATACTCTTAAACCTTGTGTCCTCTAAGAGGAGTTGAAGTGATAGCTGTAGTTTTTTGCTTAAAAAAAACATTAAAAATTTAAAAGAAAAATCATATTTCTCCCATCTTATCTTCTCTTCATTTTATTCCTGTTAAATCCAGAATAGAATTTAAAATCCTCCTTCACACATATAAAGCCTTAAATAGATAAACTCCATATTATTTCATGGATCTGATTATACATTATGTTCCTAAGAGAGCATTTAACTCTCAATTTGCAGGTTTATTAGTGGTGGCTAGAATGTCTAAACGTAGAATGGGAGGCAGATCTTTTATTTATCAGGCTCTTCTCCTGTGGAACCAACTACTAGTTTTAATCTGTGAGGCAGACACCCTGTCTACTTTGAAGGCAAGGCTTAAAACTTTACTTTTTGATAAAGCTTATGGTTAGAGTGGCTCAGGTTATCCTGACCTGTCTCTGTAGTTATGCTGCTATATGCTTAAAGTGCTGGAGGACATAGGGACCCCTTTTCATCATTCTGATGCATTCTATCTCCGTTCTCCCATTCAGCAGTATTTGTTTGTTCAATCTCTAACTTTATGTTCTCTCTGCTTTTTCTCATAATAGCTTCATCTGGTCTGCTCCTGTTTGTTGTGACACCATTCCAAAGAGAAATGTCAGCTGTGCTGCTTCCAAAAAATACCTTTGATTATAGATGTTGGAGCTTGGCCTGTTTTTCAGTGTAGTCCAGTTTCTCTTACTGTGACTAACTGTATGGGCTCTCTTTCACCTTCTGACTTGAGAGCTGGCTTGAAGCTCGTCTGCCTGGCTGTGTAGCAATTATGTTCACAGGTGGACCCGTCCACCTGTGAACATAATTGGGTCTAGACATAATTGGTTGACGGTAACTTTTTGTATCTCTGCTTCTTAATGTGTCTATGTCCTTGAACCCCTGTCAGCCTGGGCAGTTGGCCGCTTACACTGAACCTGGTTCTGGTGGAGGTTTCTTCCTGTTAAAAGGGAGTTTTCCTCTCCACTGTCGCTACAAGCATGTTTGGGGTGAGGGATCGCTTTAGAGTCAATGAGTCGATGCAATCAGCTGGTTTTCTTTAGATAGAACAATGTGAACCAATCTGACTGTATAATCTGGTTGAATGGTCTGTGCAATTGGTGCTATATAAATGAACTGAATTGAATTGCAAAGGGTGAACCAATGTCATATTGGACCTAATGTATTAAGAATTACATGTCACTGAGGCAGGGCAGGGAGCCAATATATCTATCAATATAGAGAAGGAAAGTTAAAAATTTTTGATGCTGTGTGAAAATACATCTTATTTAGTTACGTTTCATAATCATGACACACATTTCTTAATCCAGCCAAAATTCTCTAATCTGTGATTCTTTGTTCCATCTCAAATCTGCCCTTTACTTCTAAAATTCTGGAGATAGTAGTTGCCTCTCAACTTCACACTGACCTAACCCACAATAAACTATATGAACAACTAGTCTGGTTTCTGCCCTTTTCACAGCACTGAATCGGTACTCCTAAAATTTTCAAATTCCTTCCTCTCGGCAGCAGATTCTATCTCTCTCCTCCTCACCTCTTTGATCTCAGTGCAGCCTCTGAAACCATTTCCTACTCCATCCTCCTCAATAGATTATACTCTCTTGACATTACCCCACTCGACTGGTTTAAGGCATACATGTCTGGCCGCACTCAGCTCATTCAGCTTAAATTATTTTTCTCCCAGCCCTCTCTTCTCACTGTAGGTGTCCCCCAGGGCTCAGTCCTCAGCCCCCTTCTTTTCACCATCTATTTCCTACCCCTTGGCAAGATTTTCCGGAAACATAACCTGATTTTACTGCTATGAAGATGACACCTAGCTCTACTTCTTTGGTAAACCTAACTCCTTCTTTTCACCTCCCTTCCTTTCCAGCTGCTTAGATGATATTAAGTCCTGGTTGGCCTCCAATTTCCTCGAACTCAAAAGCAATATGTTCATTCTTGTTGGTGCACCTTGAACTCTCTCCAAAACTAACAGTTCCTTGAATTGATTAATTGACAATTCATTAATCCCTTCTAAGGTTAAGAGTCTGGGTGTCATCCTCAAAAGCCTCCTATCTTTCCAAGCCCAAATCAATGACACAATCAGGTCTGCATACAGAGGGTGAAATAAGTATTAAACACGTCAACCATTTTTCTCAGTCAATATACTTCTAGAGGTGCTATTGACATGACATTTACACCAAAATGTTGGTGAAAATCCATTGAATACACACATACAAAGAGACCAAACCATACTGTAGATGTCCAGATATTAAGTTATGTTTAATTATGTGAGAAGGGAAAGGGAAAACGTATTGAACAGGTAAAGGAAGGGAGGTGCAAAAAGGCATGGATAAGCCAAGACACCAGCCAAAATCTCTCAGTAATTAGGAAGCAATCCTGCCCCTTGTCTGTTAGAATCCCAAATAATGGCCTATAAAAAGGTGTCTCTGATATCACACAAGAAATATCTCATCATGTGTAATAGTAAAGAACTTTCTCAAGACCTTTGCAACTTAATTGTTGCAAATCTAATGATGGCATTTGTTACAGAAGGATTTCTAAACTTCTGAATGTTCCAGTGAGCACTGTTGAATTATTTTAGGCTTAGGATTAATTCTGTGATAATAACCTACTGAGCCCACTGGTAGGTAGGAGGCGCAATCTGAAGCCATATTATGGGTATGATAACTGCTAATACTGGCCATTTAATGGGATGATAACATCTGAAGTGGCTGCAAAAAGCCACTTAGTATTTATTGTACAATTGGATAGAATTATTGTATCGGAAGACAGAATAAGGACGAGGAGGATCCCTACGAGATGGTGCATAGGACCTACCTTAGAACGTTTTTATTCTTCCTCTTTGCCTACTGACAGACGACTGCAGCTAAATATATTAGATTGTTCAACTACCATTCAAGCAATAAAATAGCTTTCCCTGTAATTTCATCTTGGTTACAACAGAGTATGGCAGGCAGTTTTAATATGTATTAGTTTGTCTGAAAATGTATTTCTGATATCCAAAATACATTTACCATGTCAAAATTACATTTTTTATATCTAAAATAAAAAAAACTGGATGTCTAGAAATGAATATCAGATCTCCATATTCTTTCTGTTACTGGTCAGCATTTGTATCATTTTGACTATGAAGTACATATTCAATACATATTCAATCAAGCAGATTAATTTCCAAACGGTAACCTAAAGTGTGTAAAGAATTCTAGGTATATAAAACTCACATCTTACTAGTAATTTTTTTTTTTTTCAGATTTTGAATTGATTTTCTGCTCCAAAAATGTAATTTGACAAATTTTTTATTAGTATTTGACCAGGAATGTGATTTTGACTAAGAAGAATCCTCTTTTAGTGATCTTCAAATGGAACAACAGTGAGGCGAGTGCCTGCTTTTTAATACATCTTGAGACATCCTGCTACTGAGGACTTCATATAAACGTACGTATTAACTTTAGCAGCAATCTTCTCCTACAACATCTCCCTCTGCTTTGTAGCTTTACACTTTGTCACTCTAATTTCTCTAACTTCCTTTTCTAATTCTGCATTGAAATCTCTTGATCCAGTGGAGTGAAATACGCACCTCCTGTTGGGGCAGGTTTATCAGTAAGTTGTGAATTGAGTTTGGGTTACGTTTAGGGTTAGGTATGTAATGGTTAGGCTTAGAGTAAAGGTTAAGATTATGCCATAGGCATGATTGGGAAATGAACAGAAGTCAATGGAAAGTCCCCACAGGGATAGTGT